AAACTGCTCATCCATATTAACTGCACACACACACACCAAATGGTGTATTCACAAAAACAAACCTAGCTTTATATAAATGTAGTAAAACAGAAAAACAGTAACCAGTTAGGAGTACACACACACACACACACACACACACACACACACACACACACACACACACACACACACACACACCACACACACACACACACACACACACACCACACACACACACACACACACACACACACACACACACACACACACACACACACACACACACACACACACACACACACACACACACACACACACACACACAGACACACACACACACACACACACACACACACACACACACACACACACACACACTTTGTGACTGTTCTAAATCAATTCTAGGGTTTATCTTTAAAAGCAGGTGGCCACAAAGATACTGTTATGTCTTTCCACAAATAAAATGTATATATTCAAAGAAACACTCAGTTGGTTCCTGTAATTGCCTAACCTGACACACTTTGTCATCTATTTAAGCAGCAATCTCTGTGATTTGCAGGCAAAGAAAGAAAGGTGCAGAGGGAAACATTTGCTGGAACCTTTCACAGAGGCAGAAAGGAGTGTAATTACTTCCTGCTCCTCTACCGCTCACCTCTCTTTACTTCTGATTTTCTCTTATTCCACCAATCCTGTTATCCCTGTTATGTGCTCACAGGTTTTTCTCTCTGCTGCTCCATCGATCTCAAAACAAACAAGAGAGTCGCAGGCTACATTTACAAGGCTTTTATCAAAAATAAGCATCCACACTTTTACCTTTTCTCGCACCAAGGATACCACTTACTGTAGCCCTTTCTTTCACTTGCACTTTAAGAGAGGAAGCAGGAGGCAGAAAGTGTGGGACACAGAGAGGTGAAGCGAATGAAAAGAGTGCCATTTAGACTCTCTGTTGCAGGTCTCAAAAAAGCCCTCATTAAATTCATTTAAGCAGTAGGAGATGCACCGAAATCTTTCTCTATCTGTGTGTGGGTGACAGTCCTTGAATCTCCCTGCTGTTTGTGCTGCCCAATTGCAATAAGGTCATTCCCCTTCCTATTCATCTTGAGTGCTCACAGCCTTAGGGGCTTTTCTGCTTGTTGTCATCTGTGCAATTTTGGTTTCATTGTCTGAAATGTCTGAAATGGCAGCTTTAGTGAGCTATTAGTGCAGAACAAAACATTAGAGGAGATTAACAAAGGAGGCAAACAACGGAGAAGGGCCTCTGTCCCCCTGACCCATATCACAGCACATTAAACACACCAAATCATCCAAATCTGTCTCTACCCTCTCCATCATTCTCTCTCTTGGACGCACGTCTGGTGTTGAACTAACTTTGGCTATCAGGTCTGCAAACAAGGACGACAGCTTTGGCCTTTGGCTCTGACATTGTCTAAGTGAAGGAGCGCTCTCGTCACATCGACTGAAGCTGTCAATTATCTTCCTTTGGATTTCCTTGAGATGTCGGTGCTGAATGAGCAGCCAGGGAGAAATGTGAAACAGGGTATGTTACCTGCACACACATAAAAGCACACACTTATGAGGTCAAACATTGCTGAAACAAAGAGCTAATAAATGGGCTAATACCTTATAGATGAAGAGAGATGTGGTTATAGAGCCTTACAGAAAATGTCCTAAGGGTGAGCGCACACACACATTTGAGAGGATACAAAGCGGTGTTATAGATAACCATAAATGGAGTTCAGTCTTTTCTTTACAGATCGTAAATCCAACTAAGCACCTCCTGCAACGGGCCAATTCTATCTCCTATATTGTAATTGTGATGATTTAGAGCGTGTTTACCGTCCGAGTGTGAACACAGTTCGTCCAAGTGATCATTATTAGAAGCAAACCAAATCTATCAGCCGCCGTTTAACGAACAAATGACAAAGCGGTGCTATTAAAATCCATAAAGGCTTTGCCATAAACTTTCTGACACATTGAAGTGACTTCAGCAGAATGCTTACAGTGCAGCTGAATATTTGAGTTTCAGTGCGGGAGACTGACTCATCCCAAGAGCCGCTTTCCATTTAACTGTTACAGAAGACGAGCCCTAACGCTATCAGGCAGGTTGTAGAGTTTAGAGGAGGGACGTTCACAAAAAGAAAAAACCCTGCCAGCTCCACTTCATGACTCTTATCTCTTCGAGCACATTTCCTAAAGCCTCCACTTAAATCGATTTTGAAGACGACTGCATTTTATGGAATAAGATGTATCGTCTTTTTCTTTCAGATGGTGCCCTAAGCTAGTCAACAGAACTGCGGCGATATCCCAACAATTTGGGTTTTAACTTTGGGATTAAACTCCTGCAGCCACAGCTTGAGCAGAGTATGTTTTGGATGGTGAACTAAAATGATGTTACACTGCTGATGCAGGTCAGAAATCAGTGTGACTACCATCATACAGAGACAGACAACATTGTTAGATATAGTAAGACATTATAAATTGGTTCTTAATTATCAGTTATATATGGAAAAAAGACAAATTAAGAATAGATTAGAGGTCACATATTATGCAAAGTCGACTTTTTCATGTCTTTTATACATAAACACGTGTCCCCTCTGTGTTAAGAGATTCTGAACGTTTCAGGAAAAAGGACCCCCTCTGTTTTTGTCCTGATCCATTTATATAAAAACCTGTCTGAAAATGAGCTGATCAGATTTTGGCCACTTTATGATGTCATAACGATGTTTAGGCTTGTGTAACCATTAGCCAATCACCAACCAAGGTAACACCGCCCACCTTATCACCTGAATCTCCTCCTAGAGCACCATTGTGTTCTTTTTAACCAAATATCTCTCAGAGGGGCGTGGCTCCTTATTTTCATCTAAAGTAACAGACAGAGAATCAGCACTTTTGAAACAGGGCTGAAACAGAGGGGATTATGGGATGCTATAATACATGATCCGTTTGGTATTTCGAACCAAACACTTCAGAGACATGTTTTGTATATATAACTGAGAGTAAGAATATTATAGGGGACCTTTAAATCATTACTTAGAATAAAGAAAATATTTTTCTTCATTTGAATTCAATCCACACAGAAGCTTCTCAGGGATTTATTTTATAGCCCAGTGTAATGATGCTCACTAACAGGCAGAGAGATAAAAGCTTTTCACTACACAAATACCAATAACTTTATCTGACACATCCATTAGTCGGTGTCCGTCTAAATCCCTTGCTCTACAACTGTTTTAGCTTATTTTATATAAAAAGAAGCCAAAATAGCCACAGCCGGCCACGTGTGAACATTTAATTGCTGCAGATTGCTTGCCTTCACGGCCAGATTCCTCGTACCACAGGTAGTCGTACACCTGAGCCTCCGGCCAGATACCATTTCAAGGTAGAGAGCCCGACAACATGAGTGGCAAGTGCTGGCCTGGAAAGCTGCTCGACTGAGGTTGAGAGAGGTGGGAGTAATAATAAATTGCCTGCCTCAAGGCCAAGGGATGAAGGGTGAAGAGAGTATTAAAATAGTCATTACTTTAGGAAAGAAGACAGGACACTGCTTGATTAAATTAAAGTGAGTGATAAAGAGGAACAGTGTGATTTTGACTGCTCAGCAGGCTTAAAGTGACAAGTGATATTTTGTATTTCTTAACTACACCTAGTTTGTCGGCTCTTTTCCATTGATCTGAAACCCTGCATCTACTTTCTTCACATGCCTGCTCATCAATCTTTACATCTATCTCATGATTTGATTTGTAATATAATTGAACCAAACATGGTGCTGTGATATTTTTGGACCAGGTTATTACATTTTAAAAAGGGAGCCCTTATTTAAAATAGTATTGGTATTAAATACATTTTTTTAAAGTTTATTCACATATCTTTCACTGTATTGTTTGCTCAACGGATTGAATATTTAATTGCTCTGTTAGACTGGCGTGCTGTGATGCCATCTTTCCCTCTTACTCCCGCTGCCGAACGGCAATCTCGAGGAAGAAAGATTGGCAATTATGAAAAGAGCAACACCAGTCTGACTTCATTTCTTGGTGTTATTTCTTAAATCTCAGAGAGATCACACTCTCTATTCTCTCACACTTCTAATAAAACTCAGCTTTATTCAATCTCATTTTGGTATTACATTTTACCCTGTTGAGACCGGACAAGCAGAAATAAGCAGTTGTGTTTGATTGTAAATGACTTTTTACCCCAATCACAAATATCTCTTTGTAATACTGTTTAGCAGACATTCAGATCAGACTGAAAAACATTTACACTGGGTTGTCAACGTTTTCGGAGCAAGATTGATAATAATCCTAATTTGGAGCTTCTGAGTAGGTCCAACATTGCTGTATTTAACCCTAAAATCCACCCAATGTCCGGGGAAATAGGAGTTTGAGTGTCAAAATGTCTCTGAGGTTTTTTGCTGCATGTACCGAGCAGTAATGCTCTCTGGAGGTGGTCCAAACTCTGCTGTTGGATATAGTCGAATTTTCACATCTCTCCTTATGGAAACTATCACAGAACTACGTGCTTGAGGAGGAGGTTAGATTGCATGATGAATTCACAATATATCTTTACGTCTGCCTGAGCTGAAAACATTACTCATATTCAGGGCAGGGGACGGGGTCAGGAGGCCAAACTGTAGATAGGTATTAATGAGCAAAAGGTTTCAAAACAATAAAATCTGATTACAAATTCTGCAATGTTCCCCACCTGTATCAGCAAAACGCATATACACCTTAACCTGTATCTGTTTTATAGTGAATTATACTTTTTTTTCCTTCCAATTATAGAGAGGAGACCGTGTTGGAGCATTAATCAGAGGGGGCACAGAGAAAGGAGCCCTGTGTGTCTGATGATGATTAAGAAGCGGGCCGTGACTGTTGGAGCCTGATGAGCTCCTCCATGAGCAATAAACCCCTATTGTTGCTTCCTAGGAAAGATGTGGGTGTGTGTGCTTAGGTTGTGACATTGCATTAATATTCGGCCCAGAGCGGAGAAACAAAAACAAAGAAAGACAGCCATAAAGAGAGACTCACTGCAGCATCGTCCTCCCTACTGTCGCTGGTGTCCTCGCTCTTGTGGTGGCCGGCGGAGGAGCGAGTGTCCCTCTTCCGGCTGGCGTCCGTCCCCTCCGTCTGTCTCTCTCCATCTGGGACAAGGTGAAAACATGGACACCACTTAGAAAGCCAGCAAGCATCGTTATCATCCCTATTGTCGCCGCCATCATCTTTCTCATTGTCATCATCCTTATCTCCATTTTGATTATCATCATTAACAGCATCATTCTCATCTCTGTAACATAATTGTTATTAGGAATATCTTTATTACCATCGTCATGATGGTCAACAATCATTTGGAGCCATCACACATTTTCTTCCAACTGAACCTCCCTTGTGTAATCAAACCCAGATAAAAGTTTCCAGAGGAAAAGGAGATTAAGTGGAAAAAACTGTAATTGGAAAAGCGAGCAGAGACAAGAGAGAAGAATAAAAACCAGTCCGGAGGGGAAATGTGAATAGGGGGGAGTAAAAATGGGAGAAGAAAAGGAAGAGATCGTGAAATGGAGAGATATAAAAGAATAGCTTTTCTTGCTGCGAAGTGGAGCTGTTAGGATGCTGTCATGCCACAGATGGATTATGGGAGTTTTGCTGCACAATGATGACAGTTGCCTTGGCCAGGAGAGAACAAACCGGAATTTAAATCCACTCATTACGCGCGTGCGTGCATGGGAACGTTTTTTTTTTGTGTGTCCGTCACAGAGCATATGGTCAAAATTGCTTTGTGCTGCCAGCCTAACACACGCACATACATACACACACGGTATCATGGATGATCAAAACAGAGCTCAATTCAATATGGAGCAGTAACAGGATATTCAGCACTTTATGAGCGTCTGGTTATTTGGAGTTACAAGGAGCCAACGGATACTCATAAGGTTTTCTATAAAGGTGTTGTACCTCTACGAGGACTTCATATAAAAGGAAATCCATATCCCATTCACGCCAATCTCTTTTTATTTCTACCGCACAGCATTGGATCCCATTTGGCCAACATGGCTTGTGAATACACAACATTGCTGCGGCTCCGATAGGCTGTCATAAAAGGTGGCGCCTGTGCCATTGACTCCCCCATAAAAAGGGAGGAAGGGGGAGGTCTTTGTGGTGTCCCAAATGCATTACAGTGAAAGTGGTTCATTACTGTCTGCTGAGCAGAGGGTGGCTGTAGTGTACGCACATGCATACAGCCACACACACACACACACAGGGATGGATTGTGATTAAAAGACAGAATGGGGAGAACGGGCGGCTATAAAGCATAATGAGAGCTAATGGTTTTCCAATATGTCCCCTTAACAATGAGTCTGAGTGGGCTGAATTAGACGGGGGTTTTGTGTGTGTGTGTGTGTGTGTGTGTGTGTATGTGTGTGTGAGGCCGTCTAGCTCACAACTCACACTTGGTCTTACAAACAATATCAGAATCTCACACATCATTAAACTATTTTATACATATTGCTAAACACTTTGACACACACAATCATACTCTTTCACACACTTTTGTCTGGGCCATAAATCAAACTTACTTACCAAACTGTACTTTCTTAGAAACACTATTATTCCCATTTACAGACAACATCATACTACAATATAATACTCTAGTAGTGTATGCAAGATAGAACACTGTGTGTGAGAGAATGATAGTGTATGTGAGAGAGGAATTGTAGTATGTATGAGGGTATAGTAGTGTGTGTGAGAGAGAATGATAGTGTATGTGAGAGAGGAATTTCAGTATGTATGAGGGTATAGTAGTGTGTGTGAGAGAGCATGATAGTGTATGTGTGAGAGGAATTGCAGTACAGATGGAGCATCTTATTTCAGACAGTTTGAAACGCGAGGGTCGTGATTGGCTCGTGCACGGTCAGTGATCGGCCCGTGATCGGTTCGTGATGAAGAGCCGGCCCCCAGTCTGACTTGATACCGCCCCCGTGATAAATAAATGTAATTATTGTGAAGCCAGCTGCAATGGATCATTGATCCACCAGGGGGTGCAGTGGGGTTCCACACTGGAGCTCATGTGAAATCAACTTCGATACAGTAAGCTGGATGTACAGTATGTCTGGTACTAATGTATAGCGGATCTTTGTTAAGATCCATATGTCACGGATAGGATCATAGTCTGTGCTAAATAAGACATGTAATCATTTACAAAACATCACCAAGTTGTTATTTAACAAAATAATGTTGTTTAGTCGAAAAAAACGAACGAGAGGAAATGCAGCCGGCTCTCCCGATTTTTAATCCTAATTTAATCATCATCTTCACCACGATCATTTATGTTTATGTTCGCCGAATTGACATGAAATCACTGACAAATATGAATATTCTGTATTCAACTTCATTAAAACGATCAGGACCCTGGGTGTTATTTTTCCCCACAATGAGAAATAGTCAGAAAAGCAGAAAAAGAACACTCAAACCGAGAGATGAGTTATTGTTATTACAACGTGACTTCACTATTATTCAACAACTGTTTTTATTGGGTTCTTTTATTTGGGGTTAAGTATAGGTGAATTGCACTAATGTGGGAAAGATCGTGATGTCTCCTCCGATCAGCTTTATGATCTTCGTTCTCCCGCTGTGTAGATTGGGGGACCGCCGTCCTCTGTCTTCAATGTTCGACATCGCGTGAAACAGAGGATTTCGTCATTCTGTATTCCTTGCTTACTTCCTTAAACCTTTTCTCCTCCTTATCTCTTTCATGACTTTTTATTTAATGCTTTATAACAGCTGTAATAGTTCGTTTAGAAATCCTAGAAACACTTTTACGGCAGCTCTCATTTACGGTAACTCCTTTTGACGTCATAGCTACCCACGTATAATATATAAACAAAGTCTTGGCTTTCAGAATATGAAACTTTTATTTCCAAAATCACACGATAAATACATTTGTGAAGCTTGTAAAGGGAAGATGACGGGCACCTCTCACTCGCAATCTGCTCCTCCGCAGCGCCGCCCACCTCCCTCCGGCTGAAATTATGAATGTACAGTAAGGCATAGTAATCATAGATAACACGGCAGGGTCCGTTACAGTTTGTTTTCATCTGATTTCAAATAAACAAAGTCTTGGCTTTCAGAATATTAAACTTGTTTCGGCAAATTTAGATGATAAATACAACTATGAAGCTTGTAACGGCATAATTACTTAAGCGGAGAACGGAGTAATTTAACGTTACAGCAGGCATAACAACAGCCGGTGTTTATTTTATTATTATATATAGTTGTTATTCATTTGTTTTAAAGCTCAATAAGGAAGATTTCAACTTTCACACACGTTGACCGGCGAAAAACTCTGCCCGGTTCCCTCGGCCCCCACCACGTTGAATAAACAGAAGGCTGCTTTTGTGGAGGAAGTTACAGCGCTACGTACAGGCTCGGCATATGTACTGCAGCTTTTTCCAGCGGTATCCATAAATCTCTTAATTTTGCCCTCAAAGTGCACCAGATTGATGCATTTAACTTCAATATAAAGAAACACATCTTCTGTTGTAACAACAATAACATTATAAATAGTAACATAGCTGAACATGGTATTGCACATTTAGCTTTCAGTGTTACTGACCTGAGATGTTTTTATTACATGAATTAAGGTGACTGAGGCTTATTAACATAGACTTTTCAGTGTCCCACATACCGTTCACCATCCCCCACCCCCCTACTGTATGTTGATTTTTGACTTTGTTTGCCTACATGTAAATGGGTGGCATTTAGTACCTACCCCCCTCTGAGTGAATACCTGTTGTACCTATCCGGGGCTAAGCCCATAGGACGATGCTCTGATGTCATCACCCTCGCACATTTGTCATATGTTTACAAAAAACGATGTTAACACTTTCTCGTTCTTAATATATGCTATATTTAGGGTCGATATGTGTTGAATTTACTTTAAAATAGCATAACTGTGACCGGATATAGTTTTTTCGGCTTAGTGAACATGTGTCTCTTCCTCCGCGGCTCCTCCGTGCAGAGAGTTTGCAGCGGTGTGTGTCAGCAACGTGCAGTCAGGGGAGGCACGGATTGGCCGTTGGGAGAGTCAGGACTTATCCCTGGCCAGCTGTGAGTTCTGGAGAATCACAGAACGGCCGGACGCCAACGGCCCGGTTCGCTTACGGCCGACAACACCCCCCCGTTGACAATTCACGAGCGTCTAACTCCCTCTTCCCCCCCCCCCGTCGCACCTTCTAACAGAGCCCCCCCACATATCAAATCCCAATTTAACCCCTGGCCTCTGGAGCAGAAGTGAAAGAGTTTTAAAAATGTTTACGTTTTGGTAAGTTTTTAGGGAAATGTTGTAATATTGCAACGTTGGCCTTAGGTGGGAGGGAGCAGAATTTCTGTATTTCTACTCACATTGTCTGAATAAATATATAGAACAACTAAGGGTTAATTTGCAGGATTGATTGCTTACTTAGCCCTATATCAGTATATAGCATGAATAATAATCACACATCACTCATATTTGTTATGAATAATCATTTATCATTTATTAAATAGTAAGTCGCTTTGGATAAAAGCGTCAGCTAAATGCAATTTATGAAAGCCTCACTCAGGATTTTTTTTTACCAAGTGTTTTTATTGCTCTTGGGGCATTAAAAACAAGATTTTAACTTTTGTTTTTTATATAATATCTGCATTTTCTCTTGTGAAAAACTAAGTCTTAGTTTGGCCATAGTTATTTAATATATAAAGACTATATATTATTGAATTACAAGATTAGATATACTTTATTTGATCTAAAATATTGATGTGTTCAAATGCTCTTCTAAACAAAACTGAAAGTCCATGAAAAGCTGTCTTCCTGTTTCTGTGAGGGAAGCGCCATCTCCTGGTTAAATCCTGAAATTGAAAATCTGGCAACGCCCTCTTGGAAAATAGTGGGAGGGCTTAACATTCCCAGATACTGGTCTTTGGCAGGTCTTAGGCAGGTAACTGGCAGGTAGTAGGCAGGAAGCAGTAAGCTGGAGTCTGAAATAAGATGCTCAAAGTCTCCGTCTTTATAGAAGATATTTCTTTTCGCAGTCATGTTGTTTCCATAGCAACAACAACTTCCTGTCAACAGCGTTAACTCGCCTTCAGAATAAACACATCTAAATGA